GAGCCCCCCTCCCTGTAAAATTAAATGGATGGGGGAATCGATATCTTATGGCCATAACATTTGGAACCCCCCTCCCTGTAAAATTAAATGGGCAGGGGGACTCATTATTTTATGGCCATAATATTTTGAACCCCCCTGCCTGTAAAATTAAATGGGCAGGGGGACTCGATATTTTATGGCCATAATATTTTGAACCCCCTCCTACTTAAATTAAAAGGGCAGGGGGACTCAATATTTTATGGCCATAATATTTTGAACCCCCCTCCCTGTAAAATTAGATGGGCAGGGGGACTCAATATTCTATGGCCATAATACTGTGAAATCACAAATTTTCGTGGGGGTTTAATTTTCGTGGTTTTCGTGGTGTGAGGAGACCCACGAATTCATGTCCATCATGAAATGGAAATTTTCATACGCACAACTACTTAAAAGTTCCTCATCCACGAAATCAAATCCCTACCAACCAAGATTTTTTCCTCAAACCACAAAAATTTGACACCACGAAAATATGTGATTTCACAGTATTTTGAACCCCCTCCCTCATAAATTAAATGGACAGGGGGACTTGATATTTTATGGCCATAATATTTTGAACCCCCCTCCCTGTAAAATTAAATGAGCAGGGGGACTCGATTTTTTATGGCCATAATATTTTGAACCCCCTTCCCACATCAATTGAAAGGGCAGGGGGACTCGATATTTTATGGCCATAATATTTTGAACCCCCTCCCTCTTAAATTAAAAGGACAGGGGGGGTCAATATTTTATGGCCATAATATATTGAACCCCCTCCCTGTAAAATTTAATGGACAGGGGGACTCAATATTTTATGGCCATAATATTTTGAACCCCCTCCCACTTAAATTAAAAGGGCAGGGGGACTCGATATTTTATGGCCATAATATTTTGAACCCCCTCCCTCTTAAATTAAAAGGACAGGGGGGGTCAATATTTTATGGCCATAATATTTTGAACCCCCTACCTGTAAAATTTAATGGACAGGGGGACTCGATATTTTATGGCCATAATATTTTGAACCCCCTCCCTCGTAATTTAAAAGGACAGGGGGACTCGATTTTTTATGGCCATAATATTTTGAACCCCCTTCCCACATCAATTGAAAGGGCAGGGGGACTCGATATTTTATGGCCATAATATTTTGAACCCCCTCCCTCTTAAATTAAAAGGACAGGGGGGGTCAATATTTTATGGCCATAATATATTGAACCCCCTCCCTGTAAAATTAAATGGGCAGGGGGACTCAATATTTTATGGCCATAATATTTTGAACCCCGGGTTCAATATTTTATAGGGGGGTTCAATATTTCGCAGCGATATTTTGAACCCGGGTTCAAAATATCGCGGGGTTCAATATATTATATGACACCGGGGCTAATAAATTCTCTCCATGAACCTGTTGTGCACTTGCAAATCACTGGCTGTGGTATTTACAATTGTACAACTACTTGCTTAACACTTGTTTTTGACTTGATCTTAGGAACTTTTTTGTGTACATGAGGGTTGTAAAACAACTGCTGAACAAACATATTTATGACAAATGGCCAACGAAATGCACAACGACCACAAAGAAACACCTTGAAGACCAAGAACGAAACAAATTAATTAACGACAGCAGAACTTGATGATTCAAAGCAGGTCATTTGCATAAAAGTTTTTCAATTATCAAAGAATCCAACTTTTTCTAAATTAATTAAAAAACAGCTCGGACAGAGAATGACTGTTTTATGTTTTGTTTCTCCTGAAGGTTATAGTTAATATTCTGAAGTGCAAGCGAGATCAACACAGAAAATGTCAGAGCCATTCCCTAGAAGATGGCCGAATTCGTCTGGTGACAGAAATATGACAGATAAAGGTGATTTATAACTCTCTTTTTGAGGTGGCTCTCCGTAGTCCAATGAACAAACCTAATTTTATTGCAGCAATTAATTTCTGACCTGATTAGTTCATATTCTGATTTTGGTAGATATTCATATAAAACAAACCATATATAGGATATGTTATCTACAGAAGAGATATCTCAGATTACTAGGTGTAAAAAATATTTTTTTTAAAATTAAAATTAAACAGAGTTAAATGAAATAGAATAACTCATCGGTCGTAAACAGCTATATTAGAGCTGTGCGGACAGAACTCTGAAATCCTTGAATACAAATATCACTGAAAAATATTATATTTAAAACATTTAAACAAAATGAATCTTCAGAGTTTGATAGCTCTCAATTTAATGAAAGCTCCAAAGAAATTCATCTTTACTTCTAAAAATGGATCCATGGGGAAAACCTTACATGATGTAATTATAGAAACAGCTTTATTTACTTGAGCATACTGTAAACTAAATTATTGTTCACCACCTCTTGTATTCGTGGTTCTTCAGTATGGAATCCATCTGCAAATACTGTTCTGATCTGACATAAAGAAATGCTCCCATATCTTCTAATTCTTAAGGACCTCCCAACTATAACTGACACGGAATCTAATTTGAGAACTGTATTTTCTCTTTCTTAACATTGAGAATTTGAGTTTTCCTTTAAAAGTTTGAATTTTCCAGAACGTCTTTTTGGACTTGATCTTGATGATTTTGAATTTTATAGACAATTTGATCAAACGAACAGACATCAGAGTATCAAAACCCCCCAAAAAATATATAGATTCACATCTCAAAACTCCATTGAAACTTACTTGAAATGCCCCTGGCATTAGATACCCCAGACCACACCGTCATCCGGACCAATATGGCCTTAATTACCAGTACAATAAGTCCACATTAACAAGTCTGTACCACTATTTCTTTCTTTGTCTGGCATGAAGGAGTTTGGTCTAGACTTCACATAATGTAGCACTCTTGCACCGACACATGTACAAGGTTCCTAGTATCTTATGAAATATCAACAGAGCGTAGAGGAGAAAAAAATTCTTCTTTTGTATAAACATGGGCTTTTAATGGGAGACCCCAAATTCATTTACAACTCTCTTGCACATTCTATTGAAAACCGAGCATTAAGTATGTGCTCAATTAACAGGCTACCAATTTGAGTCATTTTAATATCCATAGCTTACGCTATGACTGGAAGTTTGCAGCACAAAAAGATATTTAATGCAAAATAATTTATATTCAAGATCAAACAAGATATGCAAATTAGGAAGAAAAAAAATAACTGTACATAAGAAGAGCAAAGAGGTCTGTCTATTCTCCTCTATCGTTTTTAACACCGTTTCTTTTTACAGTCTGTATATACCTTCTATTACAGTGCAGAAAGTATTCAGAACTGAGGACCCGTATTGGATGAGGGCTGTTTTTCCATCCGAATATTATGTGGTTACGGTGTGTGTCTAAAGCACTAATCCCGACAGATTTTATGAAAAGTTTACATCTTGAAGTACGGTAATTAACATTCTTTTTTGGTTCGCGTCACACTGCATCACGTCACACAATTAAAATTTAAAAACATTGTGAAACTTCCACATTGAATGACCTTTTTGAAATTCATGCTTCATTTGTCCTCCGAAGCAAAAACTCATCGAAAAATCTCATAATTAGAGGCAATACAAAATTGAAATACTACTCGTGAGTGAATGAATAAGTTTTTCTTAATGCCACTATTTTCTTTATGACAGTTTTATTATAATTTAATGTATTTTAAAGATGAACATTACCCTTGCGAACTCTGATTTTACGATAAATTGAAAGCTTTTTAAGCTTTACTTAACAGAAAATCAACCTAAGGGGTGAATTCAAAAATTTTAACAATTAGAAGTATATATATCTCCTTTTATCCCAAGAAAGGAAAAATATCTTAATGCCATTTTTGTTGTCAAACTTTGCCTATATCCATTACTTAGAAATCAAGCACCTTCTTCCTGAGAATTTGATAATTACAGAAAACTTAATACTTATAGCCCTGTACATCTAATAAAAACAGGGATTTTTCAGCCTGAAAAAAGTTTTATATAAATGAATTAGGGATTAGCACCTTTGCAGCTACCCTAGAGTTAATGCCCAAATTTTGTTAAGTTCCATTGAAATGACAAGACATTTGTAGTTGGTAGTGTGTCAAGAATTAAGGTTTGTGGCTCTTTAAATTGGGACTGATCAATTGTGGAGAACAAATGGCAAGGAATCTGACACCCAACAGTCAGTGGTTTTGGGGTCTATCCATCTACATATCACTCAGTTTGATGCATATCAGAGGGAATTGTGGGAAAAAGAGATAAGCATCTGAATTGTGGGTAATACTGAATGAACCTGAATGGGCCAAAAAATAATCCTTTACAAGAATAGGGTCCTCATCCTAAAACAAACACTATGCATGGAGCATTTAATTTTAGATCCCTTTGTCTATTGTTCCGACCAAAACCTTTACAAAAATAATTGGATATATTGACATGCACACATTTTTTGAATGATTAAGATGGGAAACCTCTTCACACTAAAACATTAATACACCATAGCTGATCATAATATCACTTTAAATGCAGCCATGATCCTACCATATAAAGTAACAATGGTGTTTTCAATTATAGAGCAGCAAATGAATCTTCCACCACATTAAATCATGGTGCATGCATTGTTTACTTGTGACAAAAAACAATCACCTGTATGCGTTAAGGGCTAATTTTACAAAGTCACCTTGAAAAATTTTGCATAACGTTTTAAAATCTGAGTTGAGAAATGATAGAATTATGTAAATCAGCATTGGGAAGGTGCATTCAGCTTATTCTGTCGTAAAAATTCCGTAAAGTTACAGCCCTTTTCTTTTTCCTTAAATCCTCTACACCTAATGAAACTCTATACTTTCAACTGCAACCAGAGAAAGCAAGCTATCTGCCACCCCGGTGTGTATAATTGGTGGCAAGAGGTTGCTTTATTCTTACCGAGACAGCTCATTTCAAACAGAAATCAATGAAAAAAGATGACAGTTACTGCTACCTTTTTGATAAATGCACATCATTAATATGAAAATGCAATTCATGATGCCTACCTTTGCCCACTTTGGGTTGAGCTGCTTGGCCTGTTTTGCATCTTCGAGACTCTTCTGGAACTGCCTCAGTTTGCAGTAGGCTGCTGACCGGTTAGTGAAAAGAATGTGGTTGGATGGATCAAGATGTATAGCCTCCGAATACAACTGGATGGCCCTGCGGAAATCTCCACTGTTTACAGCTTCGGAACTTTCCCGAATTTTTTGCAGATACAAGGTTTGGTTGGCTCCTCTGGGTCCACAGGAAGTTTGCTGACTGTCAGAGGAAGGTAAAGTGGGTTGTCTGGGATTTGACACGGTGGAATGGTTCGTGTACATTTGCGGGGATTCGGCATGGTGGTGCGGGGCTCGGTGCGTGATGGGGGAAGGTGGTTCTCTGGGAGATGGGGGTCCCTTGGACCTGGGAGAGGGAGGTCCCTTTGATCTGGGTGAAGGTGGTCCTCTTATGCCATGTGATCGATGAAAAGGCTGAGCTGAACTTTTGGAGGCTGTGTCTTCACCAGACTGTAAAACATAAGAGATTAAACTGATGGCATTTTATGATCAACATTAATGCATATGAAATTAGTTTGTTAATCCCTCAAAAGGGATGGAAAATTGTGATTTCTCTCATTTAACACCCACTGGACTTAAATTACCCCCTAATGAATGTTACATCAAATAAGAAATAAAATCCAGCATGCAAGGGCTTCATTTACAAAATCAAAATCTAGCTCCATGTCAACATGCAAGGATCGTAAACTGGTCTGCCTATTTGACAAGCATTCTGAGAGTTTAAATAAGCACTTCTAACAACTGGTCAATATTAAATTGGCAAAAATCATTGAATTAAGATTAACTACATTTTTCATAGCAGTAAATACTTTGAAGTTTATTGTAGAATCTAACTAAAAATCAGATCAATATATGAAAGTGTATGGGAAAAATCCAGAAAATCCAAGTGGGACAGACTGCTGACAGGAATTTTCAAGTCCTTTTTCTTGTTTCAGTTTTGGGGGACTTATGACCAACCTTTGTCTTTATTGAAAAAAAATGTAATAATGAGACATCTATTGGTGATGATTTGAATTTGCTGCAAAAATGAGCAAACAGTCAGAAAGCAACAAATGTATGTTAGCTTTATTCAACTGGCTAGTATATTGGTGTTCATGAAAAGAACATGGGCTTGAATTCATGCATGCCCAAATAATAGATGAAAAACCATAATGCCTAGAGCAAATCTTAGTCAGTATCAATGAGACTACATAACTAAAACTACTGTGATCAACATGGAAATTCATGATTTAACTTTGAAGTGACATAATGACTATGGGCTACAGAGTCAAGCACAGAAATACATTAGCTAATACTTGACAAAGCAATTACTTAATGGAACTCTTTCATGGTGGAGGTAGGCAAAGTCTGTTAGTTGTGGATTGTAAATTTTTATAAAGACAGATCTATATTAAGATAGAAGTCCTATATTGCTTGTGAAATAATTGACTTACTGATACTTTGGTGATACTTTTCACTATAAACAGACTTTATAATTCTTTCTTATAAACAGAAACTTTGGAAGCTGATTAAAAGGTACCTCTTTTCCCTTTTTGCTAGAAATTCATTTTGGTCTGAAATTAAGGGAACTGAAAACCTGTTGCCAGCTGTCATTCAATAGTGAACTATTTACCACATTATTTGACATTCCTATTTACTGATGGTTCAGTAATTCATTGATCATTTATCTATAACTATCTCTGATATCAATGAGAATGCCCCATTTATAATCTAAAATGATTTAATGGCTAGTTACTTTGTGAATTTTTAACATCTTCAAAAGCTAAATTGTACTGCATCAATATCACCATGATACTGCTATTAAGCAAGCAATTATTATACACCTGGAACGTTATGCACCAGATAACTTGAATTGACTGAACCAACCAATTTAATCAATATTTTACTGCAAGAAGACTTTTTTTCAACACAAGAAAATCTTTGTTTGCTTTAAGACGACAAGCTTCCTATGGCACTTGCACTGTTAACAACACATTCATAATGTATGCACACCTTCATACCTTTCAAATATTTCACTAAAACTTGTCACATTGTTACCAGGTGAAAAAAAAAATTGTGTGAAAATAAGAGTTTTCATGTGTGAATGTAAAGCATATGTAGTACAAAACATCTTTTTTCACAATTTCTGACTCAGAATTTTGATATGATGATCCTCAATGATTTCAAATAGTACTAGATGACTGCATGGGCAGGTTACTTTGACAAAATGTGTGTGAACAAGTACACTACAAAGTGGAGCATTCCCATGCAAAAAGCAATTATATAAACCAAGACAGCATTTGCCCTCAAATCAGAGTCATATTATGTCACTTCCATTTTGCACAAAGACAAACCACCCCACCCTCCACATACATATACAAGCGCTTTACTATATCCCCTCCAAATCCATTACGAGGGGATAATTAAAACATCTCATAAATGGTACATTAAATTCTTAATAACAATACACTGCATATTTTAAATAGGTGCAATACTTTGATGCAATTTGTATCTAAAATGAGGTAAAAAAGCAATATTGCTTTGCACCTGTTTCAACGTAGTTAATAAATTTTGATTTAAATGAAGGATGCAATAGGGCAAATTTTATGCATTTTAATGTAAAAAAAAAAAAAGGTAAAATTTGATGAAATCATGATGAATTTAATATTTCAGACTAATAGAAAGCATTTAGGATCTTTAAAGTGTTCTGATGAAAGGATATGACTGCATCAGTGGTTATCCCCATCCTATGCAAACTTGATTTGCATTCATTCTTAAAAATATGCACATCGTTCCAAAAAACAACAACAAGAGGCCAACAATCCATATCACTGACCTGAGTTAGGGGCTTTGTGGTTCTCTATCAGTAACATGGGCCTTGCAATTCTTCCCACTATATCTATATTCCTGCTCCCCTACCCCATCCCACCAGCAGAAAACTAGATTTTAAAATAAAATTCCAACAAACAGCTATGTAAAATTTTGAACACCTATTGTGACCTAACACCAACCACCTTGACTTGATGATTTAAACAAATGTTTCTTATTATAAGTTTGACTATGCATGACTGTTTTTGAAAATATTTTTCCAATAAATGTCTATAAAAAATTTCATCTACATGTATTTCACTTATTCTGGTCCTATCAATTATGGCCAGGTGATAAGTAAAACATATTACTTATTCTTAATTACCTCCCCTTGACAAAGGGCCTATAAGGCAACCTTAATTTCTTAAAATCAATGGTTATGCTTTGTGCCAAGTTTGGTTGAAATTGGCTAAGTAGTTCTTGAGAGAGAAAGTTCTAATTGTGAAATTTGCTTACAGACATGACAGACAGCAAATGAAATATGACAAATAGACAACAGACTCTCTAACTCTCTTGACTCAGGTGAGCTAAAAAAGAAGTGAGAAGTATAGGAAATACAAAATATTATACTTTCATATACATCTAGTATTCATACAGTAACCATTGATGAAATTATAATTACATGTGCAACTGCAAACATACTTTACAGTATTTCATTTTCTAAAAAAAAAAAAGCTTTCTATTGTAACAAACTGTATTCTGTTGAAAACATGACAAAGCCGCCTGATGAGACATAGCACCAAAACAATTTCTGCAAACTGATAATATGGCAACATGCATTTCAAAGGAAAGTCCTTAGTGGGTGAGTGTTACAGAATTTTTGGGCCATTCAAATGTTGACATTAAAAGATTGCGACAAAGACAGGTAATATAATGTAACTGTCCCCGGTGTGATAATGAAATATGTTTCTTTTTTCGTAGGGAGATAATTGGGTAGCTAATCCATTACGGAGAAAAAGAATGTGAAACATGTCTCAAAAGAGACTCATTATGCACCATTTAAAAATTTTTCTCAGAGTAGAAGACCTACTCATGCCAAAAAATATGTATTTTTGGGGTTTTCTAAAACTGAATGCAATTTTAGAATCCCCTGCAAAGAAGAGCTTTCATTGAAGGCCTGTATTTCTTTTATACACCCATACATACCTGTACTTTTATGTCATATCTGTTTGTCAGTTGCACTATTCATTCAATAAACTATAATGATGATGATTCTAATCAATATATAATTATACATTTTTTTAAATTCACTTACTCTCTTTATAATGTACTACAGTAAAACTCGGTTATAACAAAGTCACTGGGACCTGTGAAATTACTTTGCTATATACATGTATCCATAATTTGTTATATCTGTATACTAAGGAATATCTAAAATTTTATATTGTGGGGGATTTAAGAAAACTTTGCTATATTCGTAAATTCCAATTATCTGTGTTTGTACTATTTTAGTAAATAAGTTTTACCGTACAATATCCTTATTCTGTGTTTAATTTTATGAAGTAAGTTGGACTATAATAATAGTTTATTGATCAAAAGTTTTATGTATGCCAATTCATCTTACTTCTCAATAGTCAGAAAGGTACTGAGTCTATACAACAAATTAAACTATAGCTATAAAAGAAAGTTCTACACAGTAGCACTTCTCCTTCATTGATATTTAACCCAGTCCCAGTTTTATTTGTCCTCCTATGACCTTTACTGATATAAATTAATGCTCAGTGGTCATGGCCTTGAAGCAACAAATACATGCGCAACTACAGTATATGCTACCATAATTGAAAGCAAAACTTTTCACTTTAAATTAATTTTAGAAAACAGAATTTTCTACATATTCAGAATTAAAAATTTGCTATGGATACTAATATAACTTCACCATAGAATTTCAGTCTTCAAGTTAGAGGTTAATTTAGGGTCAATTAATATATAAATGATGGAAGAACTCTGTCTTCCCGAGGTCTATATTCTAAATTGAAAAGCTTGCTCAAAAGACTTTCTCAGCATCACACTTATTTTCATCGTCGGAAACCCACGGGTGATCTGTCTTTCTAAAATTAAGGTCTTAATTTTGACTTATCACCGGGTGATAACAAGCTCCATTTTTTTTTTGCCTTTTTGAAATTAAGGTCTTATTTTTGAGATCTTCAAACATTAGATCCATCCAGCCTTTTCCTAACACTATAGACAAAGTAAGTGATTTCTCTGAGATAAACATCTTGTCAAAACTCCCCGTTTTGTCTGGAGGGGATCATGTCCCTGTCTCCCTTTTCATATCAACAACACTGAATGTCCCCTCAAACAAACATCCTCTCAACAACCCTGCAATATGACTCGGTCCATTGTACCGTCTGGCAGAGCTACAAATACCGACAAAACTCTCTGTGGATATCATGTAGCCCGAACATGACAAAATGAGAAGACACCTGATATTCTTTGGGTAGGTCAGCCTTCAAATTATTCAATATCTCCATTAAAATATGATGTATCTTCTTCCAAAAATTCTAACATACTAAAAAAATTAGATATCAAAATCCTACATGTTTTGGGTAAGTTGTCTATAGGTGTAACTTTAACTGCATCTTCATTTTTCTAAATGTTCTCAG